GAACAGAATAAGAAAAGGCAGGCTATTTACAGAGTCACCACGAATGCCCTTAATGACTGTATCCTTGTTCCCCTAGATCTCTTTGACAATTATATAGGCAGCTGTAAAGGAAGAGTGAATGGATTGTTACAAGGCCTTAATACCTAGAGATGTTAAGCTGAGTTACGTTCATGAGCCGAACCCCTGAGATGGCGGCGGTGCTGTTGGAGGCTGGGAGGGCAGTTATGTCTGACTATGAGAAAGGATCAAAACATAAAGCCATAGTGATGGCACCAATAAAGTGATTGCAGAGAGATAGTTATAGCTACAGAACGGATTGTAAAAGAAAGAAGAGGTGGGAAACAAATAGGAGAACGGCAGATAGGGGGATAACGACTCTTGGCCCCATGATACTTTAACAGAAACCAGGAGATTTATAAAACAATCTTAGGATAAGGGCTTTTTTTTATTTTTAAGAGAACTGTCATGAATTTTTTATGTACTTATAAGTTGGATTCTCTCCAAAAGATAGAAGAATGAGCTAGACAAATTGCATTAAAAATACAGAGGTCTGGTAGTTCCAGTGCACAGCAACTCTTCCTGACTCGGACTACCCGCCACCTCACCCCAATTTACAGACATAAAAACGCTGCAGAAGACAGACAGCTCACAATGAGATGTCATTTCCCATCTATTAAGGTGGCTCTGGCCAGGAGTAACTGTTGGTGAGGATGCCGAGGGACCTGGGCTCCTTGCTCATCACTGCTGGGCCTGAAAACATATGGCGATGCCGAAAGAAATTAAAAAAGGAACCGCCACATGACCCACCATTCCACTTCCCGTTTCTGTACAAAAAGGACTGAAAAGTGGAGAACGCGCTCTGCTCAGCTGTGCCGAGAAACAGAAGCGCGAGAGCTACGCCATGTTAGAGGGCATCCAGACAGCTTCCGGTAGATGGGGACTTGGAAATGTGTCTCAAAAGAACAAAGATGTGGTAGCAGAAAGCAGTGGGACCGTGTCTTCAAAATGCCAAGGAGAACAGAAAAGTGAGAGCTCTCTACTCGGGCAAACTACCATCAGACGGTCAAGGACAACAGAGACATTCTGAGGGACGCACAAGACACTCCTTCACGGTGCACTGCACGGCCGAGAAGGGAGGCTGCGGCATCAAAGTGGCCCCAAAAGGAAGAAGACGGCAGTAGGACAGTAGGAAGGCCAATAGCAGTGAGTGGAGGAGTGAACCCATGTAGAGTCTAGACACTGATTAAGAACACATTTCAGGAGCCTGCAAAGACGGCTCAGTAGTCAAGAACACTTGTTTTTGCAAAGGACCCCGGTTCAATTCCCAGCATCCGCATGGTGGTTACAATCACCCATAACTCCAGTTTCAGGGGATCTGGCACCCTCTTCTGCCCTCATGGGCACCAAAAGCATTTAAGTGGCACATCTGTACACATGCAGACAAAATACATCTAATAAAAAAATTATAAAGAATACATTTTTAAAAAGTGTTAGGGGTTTGACTCACTGGGGAGTTTTGTCTAAAGCAGAACATATGCCCAGTATGAGTTACAGCAACACACATACACATGCATACACACATGCATGCATATGCCTCTAACAAGCATTCATGCACCACACACACACAAAAAAAACTTTTTTAAATTTTTAAAAAACATTTTGGAAGAATAAAAAAATTATAAATCCAACTGTCAATGCAAGTTTTTACTTATTGCAGTTGTGACTATCATTACACACAGTAGTGTCACGTGACACTTTTATATAAAACCTGTGTGCATATGCATATACGTATCAAGTACATTGAACATATTCCCTGCCACACACACCTCCTATGCTGTTTTTAATCCTGACTTGGGAACTGGATTATTCTTGTTCTTCAGGACCCTAAGGTGCATTGTTGTTTGAAATCTCCTTGAGCTGTTAATGTAAACACTTGTAGCTGTAAACCTCCCTCTTAGGACTGCTTTCATTGTAACATGGGTTTGGGATGTCGTGTTTTCATTTAATTCTAGGAGTTTTTATTTCCTTCTTGATTCCTCCAGTGACATTGTTATTCAGTGGGGCATTGAGTTTGTGTGTGTTCCATGAAGTTCCCTTGCAGTGGATTTTTAGTTTTAGTCCATTGCAGTCAGATAAATTACAAGGAATTATTTCAGTGTTTCAATATTAAGACTTGATTTGTATCTTATTGTATGCTCTATAGAGAAACTTCAATGGGCTGCTGAGAATGTTGTAGGTGGAGGCTGCTTGTTTGTTCCCGGCCACCCAGACCCGAAATAATAACACAGAAACAATATTAATTGCAATATTGTTTGGCCAATAACTTAGGCATATTCCTGGCTAACTCTTATATCTTAAATTAACCCATTTCTATTCATCTGTGCATCGCCAGATGGTTATGGCTTATCAGTAAGGTTCTGTCCAGCATCTGTCTCCTCTGGTGGCTACATGGCATCTCGCTGGCTCTGCCTACTCTCTCCTCCTCTATCTGCTTGGAATTTCCACCTTGCCCTATTCTACACTGCAATAGGCACAAAGAAATTTCTTTATTAACCAGTGGTATTCACAGCCTACAGAGGGGAATCTCACATCAGAGTGTGCTTTGTATCTTTAGGGTAGAATACTATGTAACTGTTTATGAGGTCCATTTGATCTGTCGTTTACCCAGTGCCTCACTGTTCACTGTCAAGATGGCCTGCTTATTGTTGAAAATGGGTGACATCATCTATATGGTTATGCTGGGGTTGACCTATGTCCTTACCTCTAGCTATGTTTTATAAAACTGGATGCACCCATGTATGATGAGTATGTTTAGGATTGTAACACTCTTTTGATGGGCTATTCCATTAATCAGTATGAAGGGACCTTCTTTACCTCTAATTTTGGCTTGGAGTCTATCTTACCAAATATTAGAATGGTGACACCTGTTGTTTTGGCTTGGCATGCCTTTTTCCATCCTTTCACCCTCAGTTGTTAGCAATCTGACTTTAATAGGAAAGTACATAACTTGGAGGTAGCAAGTAGATGATTCCTGATTTATTTCACATTTTAAAACTTTTCGTTTTAATTTTTATGTATATGGGTATTTTGCCCAGGTGGTGGTAAGAATGGCTCCTTTAGGCTCATATATTTGAATGCCTGGTGGAACAGTTTGGGGAAGAATTAGAAACTGTGGCTTTGTTGGAGATGTTTCAGTAGGGGTGGGCTTTGACATTTCAAAAGTCCATGCCAGGGCCAGTGTCTCTCTCTGCCTAAGTTGTGGATCAGGATGTAAGCTCTCAGATAGAAAGTGCTCCAGTGTCATGCCTGCCTGCCTGCGGCCATGCTTCCTGCCACGATGATGATGAACTCACCCTCTGAAACTGTAAGCAAGCTCCCTATTAAATGCTTTCTAAGTTGCCTTGGTTGTGGTGTCTTGTCACAGCAATGGAACAGTGATTATGACAGCTAGCATGTATGATTTTGCACCATGTACATACCTGTTGCCCAGAAGCCAAAAGAGGCCATTGGATCCACTGAAACTGGAGTTGTGAGCCACTGGGGATAGAATTTCAGTTCCCTGGAAAAGCAGCCAGTGTTCTTAACACTGAGCTATTTCTTCAGCCTTCCTCACATTTAAGTTTTTTTTTTCCATTTTGTGTGTGCCATGTTAAGCATATAGAGGTCAAAAAAACAACCTGAGGGAATTGCTTCTCTCCTTCCACCACACATGTCCCAGGGAATAAACTCAGGTCATCAAGCTTGTTAGCAAGCATCTTTAATCACTGAGCCACCTTGCCTGCTCTGAATCCCCTTTTTTAAATCCAATCTTTTAGTACATGTCTTTTGATTGGAGAATTGAGAACATTTATAATTAGGGATCAAAAGCTGGGTATTCTTATTGTTTTGCTGTGTTTGGTTGCTTAAGGCTTTTTAAAGTGTGTGTGTGTGTACACGTGCACACACGTATGTGTATGTGTACATGTGTATGAATTTATGCACATGGCTACAATGCTGGTAGGAGCCAGAAGATGGCTTCAGATTGCTGAAGAATTACAGATTATTTGTGAGTCACCCACTATTGCTGATGGGAACTGAACTAAGGTCCTCTGCAAGAGCAAAAAATTCTATTAGTGCTCACAGAGATCAGAAGAAGGCACCAGATTCCCCAAAGCTTAAGGTACATGTGATTGTGAGTCACCATGTGGGTACTGGGAATTAAAACTGGGTCCTCTGGAAGAACCCTCTCCCCAGTCCAGTATTTTGTTTTTCACTATTTGTTTGTATAACTACCAGTGTAAGGTGTTTTATTTCCTCCTATTGCCTCATCTATGTGATTCTTCCAAGTATCTTCTATAGAGTTTCCTAGTGATCATCAATTCTTGTAGTCTGTTTTTGTTAAAAGTTTTTCTTTCTTTTTCAATTATAATAGTTTTGCTAGGTATAGTAGTCTGGGTGGCAGTTGTCTTTCAGATCTTGAAAGACATTATTCCAAACCCTCTTGACTTTTAGGGATTTTGTTGAGAATTCTGTTATTCTTTCTGATGGGCCTGTCTTTATGATTCTTTTCTCTTTTGCAACTTTCAATATGGTTTCTTTCATCTTTAAACTTAGTGTTTTTAACTACGATATGACATGGGGGCTCTTTTCCAGTTTTGCATGTTGGGTGTTCCAAATGTCTCCTATATGTGGATGGGCATCTCTACCCCTAGATTTGGTCAATTTTGTGATTATCTTATTGAAATTTTTCTATTCCTTTACTGTAAAATTATACATCTATGCCCATGATACATAGATTTCATCTTTTCATAGTGCCTCCATAGGTCTCATGTGTTGCTTGTGCTTTATATGGATGGGAGTAGGGGCAAAAGAAGAGAGGATCCCTCTGCCTAAAGGGAGAATTACAAATAAAAAGAGGCAAATAAATCTATTAAGCAAACTAAAAAAATCAGCCTTTCTAGAGACTGATACACAGAGAACTCCACCAAAGAACAGTCTCATTTACATTCCCTGGGAAGATCTATCAAAAGGAAAATGAAAAAAGAATAGATAAACGATTCAGAGAAGATTAGCATGGCCCCTGCACAAGGATGACATGCAAATTCGTGAAGCGTTCCATAAGGAGCCGGACTCAAATGATTAGAAGTCTTGGGGCCAAAATGATCTCAACTGCCTCTCTCTCCACTTTTAAAATGGTGGAAGCACCACCACTGTTAGCTCTGGGGCTGCCAGGCAGGAGCCGTGCTCAGCACATAAACCCTTTTTATCTGAGTAATGGCCAAATCTGCCATGCAGAGCACTGCACAGCCGGAAACATCTCTGTGTATGGCAGCTGGAATCCACCATGCACCTGTGCAAGCCTAGTAGACCTGATCCCGCTGCCTGCCCAGGCAGGGAGCACTAAGTCAGGGGCTTGGAGAAAGTGAAATTTCCTACAGAAAAGGGGAAATAGTGTGGGAGGTCCTTTTGTCTATGTGTTGCTTTTATTGGTTAATGAATAAAGAAACTGCCTTGGCCTGTTGATAGGGCAGAACTTAGGTAGGCAGGGAAAACAGGACTGAATGCTGGGAGAAGAAAGGCGGAGACAAGACGCCATGGATCCGCTGCCAGACATAGACATGCCAAAACTTTGCTGGTAGGCCATGACCTCGTGGTGATACACAAATTAGTGGAGATGGGTTAAATGAATATGTAAGAGTAAGCCAATAAGAAGCTAGAGCTAATGGGCCAAGCAGTGGTTTAATTAATTTAGTTTCTGTGTGATTATTTCAGGTCTAAGCTAGCCGTGCGTCTGGGAACAAACAAGCGGCCCTCTCCTACAACAATCCTCTCTAGAAACTAATACACAGAGAACTCCCCCAAAGAACGGTCTCATTTACGTTCCCTGGGAAGATCTATCAAAAGGAAAATTAAAAAAGAATAGAGAATGATTTTTAAAAAAAAAAAAGAAAATAGAAATGAGAACAAAGGAGGGCAGAGCTGGTCTGCTTAACTGGCACTGAATAGTTAAAAAAGAAGTGATGAAAGTGAATCCAAGCTGGACTTCAGGGTCTGGATGTATCGTTTTCAAATCAGCAGAGGAGGAAAAGGGGCACTGAACAAAACTGAACACAACAAAAAACAGTGAAAGGAGTGGGGTAGGGCAGAAAGACGGCTCGACTGGTTAGGGAACTTGTCATGGAGAAGTGGCAGCGAGAATCAAGGCCACAAAGTTATCCTCTGACCTCACCTGTGTCCTCCAGTGTGGTTATAATTTAAAAAAAAAAAAGATAATGAAAGGGAAAAAACTTTATAAATTTAAGTAAAAGACATCAAAACCATATGTTAGAAATAAATTCAACATGTAAGTAATAACAGAAAAAAATAACCAAAATCACTACTTAAGAGAGATATTATCTGGCGCAAGAGATGTAGCTCTATGGCAGAGTATTCGCCGAGCATGCGTGGGTTCTGGATTCAAGCTTTAGCATATAACAAATAAAAATAAAATGGTCCCTTTCTCAATCCCTCATCAAAAGAGGTGGCTCATCTAGAATAACATAAAGCAAAATAAACTTTAAGGGAAAAATCACTTTATAATGGATTTCTATAAAAATATAAATTACCAAAAGAGACTCAAAATGATAGAAAATCTGAGACCTCCAGCAATAAAGAAAATTGAGCCAAAACTCTATCTGCCACTTAAGAAACTACTAGACCAGGCCAAGCTTTCAAAAAATAGATAACCCTTTGTCATTATGACTCAGACTGTGCCCCAGGAAAGACAAAGAGGCTCCCTGACAGCTCAGGCTGGAAAGCTAACGGCCGCTGACACCAAACTTTAGGATGGAAGAACAAGCCAGTGGAAGCCAGTGCTGCCCGAAGCACATCTGAAACCTCGATGTCTGCTTGTGGCAACAGGAAGTTTGCCCACGCACTGCTTACCTGCTGCTGTTTGAGTTGCCAATGTAATAAAGAAAAAAAAACGCACCCCCAAAACTTTCTAAATAAATATTACCCTTGAGCCCAGAAATGCATAAAATGTAATATTTCATCAAAGCTAAAACATCACTGCCTATGAGATGTAGCATCTCTTCATATACAAGAGAAAAATATATTATCACTTCAACCATGACAATGCTCTCTTGTCACTCATACATTTTATTGATATTTACCAAAGGAACTTTTTAGACTTGTTTATACAGATTTTTGCCATAGATCACTGTCAATGAATTCATAATAAATGAAACACAGGCAAGATAAACAAGGTGCTTTTCAAACTTTTAAGTCACTGTTCAATGCAGTTGGCATCACTCCTGGAATCAAGAGGTGGTTAACTCAAGATTTCCTAGGAATCCTTACTGTCGCTCGGGAAGATTTCCTAGGAATCCTTCCCGTCGCTCAGGTGTGTTCCCTACTAAGATTTCCTAGGAATCCTTCCCGTCCCTACTAAGATTTCCCAGGAATCCTTCCTGTCGCTCGGGTGTGTTCCCTACTGAGCCCCACACACAGTCTCTAACTTTTGATGCTGAAGATTTCTTTGACTTGCTAGAAAATGACAACAGTAAGACGTCGGTCAAACAAGATTCATTTTCCTTCCAAATGGTCTGTAAGATGTCTATCAGGGATGACAAGTGACCAGGTTTAAGCAGGAGAAATTAGAAGACACCATTGTCCTAATTACAGAAATGTTGACGTATCAAAAATACGCATGTCACAACTGAGGAATATGGTAAATCATAACAAATAGGGTTTATCTCAGGAGTGAAAAAGTAGTTTACAAATGCATTAAAATAGGACAGATGAGGTGGTATATGCCCTTAATCTCAGCATTTGGGAGGCAGAGGCAGACAGATATCTCTGAGTTCAAGACCAGCCTGATCTGCATAGCCATTTTTAGATCAGCCAGGGCTATATAGTAAGACCTGTCTAAAAGGTCTTCAAAGGTCTAAAATAGGTGACCATTTTACCACATTAAAACAAAACATCTTGATTTATGGAGAAAATCACTTAAACTCAAAAAACAACAAGTTTAACTCAAAGCAAAACAGATAAGAACAGATTTAACCTTGTGTAGCTACCTGCCAATATCTCACAGCAAAAATAGATGGATGGAAGGAATAATGAATGAATGAATAAAATGAATTAAAACAATGTGGTAATGACAGAATGACAATCTGACAGAATAATGGAACAAAAGAATCAAACCAAAACAAACTTATCTTTCCCAGTGGTCTAAAGCTTAGGATTTGGTGCTCTCCCAAATCATGAAAACCTGATCAAAATCAGTGGGATGTCTTGCTGGTTAAGGACATCTGCTGCCAGGCCTGATAACCTGAGTTTGACATTCAGAACCCACATAGTGGGAGGAGATAACTGACTCCCCAAGTTGTCCTCTGACCTCCACATGTATGCTGTAGTACATGCATGCGCGCGTGCGCACACACACACACACACATGCATGCACACACACACTAAATAAATGAATAATATATTTCAAAAGAAAATGTGACCACCGCAATGGAATCCAAACCTTGGTATACCACGGAAGTGTTATCACACATAAATGGGCATGAGAGCACCTGGTTGGCAGCATGTCAAATATTTAGAGCCACACCATGTCATATACAAAAGCACCTGAAAAAAAAACTAATTGTAAAATATACATAACATCTTTATTATTTAAGTAGAGAGGAATTTCTTGAGGCAGAATATCGCATTATACACACACATCTTCCCATACCACACCATGTATGATGATTTAAAAAAACAAAATGGCCAAGAGTTTAAGAAAAACATGTTCAGTTCAGGGACCAAGGCAATTTCCAGATGTGAGATGCAACCACTACCCTTCACACTGGAAAAAGTTAAGATCAGGACTTTGAGATTGTAGAGACGGGGAATTTATATACTATCTATTGCAGAGAGATTAAGAAACTTATGAAGCTACTTAGTAAAGCTAAACTCTGACACTTCGTTTCCCAGAAGACATACAAAAAACTTCATCATGTGGTGATTAAAATTATGTAGAATTAGAAATAACCAAACAGTCCACTAATAAGATGAATATGAAATATACTAGGGCGCTCCAAAATTGCTAAAATAAATGGATAAATCTCAAAACCATTCAGTGGGAAATAAAAGCAGTAAAATATATATCTGCAGAATAACCTATTTATAGAATACAGCCTTAGAGAGAATGTTTTATATTACACAGGTGTGTGCATGTATACTAGAAGCTTAAAAAGACAGTGTCAAAGACTACATCTGTGGAGGCTGGGTAGGAGAGCACATGACAGAGAGAGGGACAGGTGGTGCTTCAGCATCCTCTTAAGCAAGGTGTGTACATGTATGTGCACAAGGGCACATGGGTTTGCACATACATGTGGAAGCCATAGGACAACCTCAACTGTCACCTTTAGGAATACTGCCCACCTCCCTTTGAGACAGGCTCTCTAGTTGGCCTGGAAGCAGCAAGCCCCAGGATTCTCCTTCTCAGTCTCTGTGTCACTGGGGCTGGGATTACAAGTGCAGGCCACACCAAGCACTTCCCACGGGGACGGAACTCAGACCTGCACGCGTGTGAGGAAAGTGCATTCCTAAATGTGCTGTCTTCACAGCCCCTTGATGTCTGGATGTCTCTAAGAAAATGCAAAGCATGTTGGCCCATGCCTTGTAATCCCAACACTTGGGAGGATGAGCAGGAGGAATGCTGAGAGTTCAGATCCATCCTGGGCTGCAATGTGAGACTCTTTCCTAAAAATCTCACCCCCCCCCCAAAAAAAGAAGTCTTGATGCACAAGGTAAGTTGACAATGGAAACTTAAAATATAAATAGTAAACTAAAGAGAAGTGTGTCTTGAAATGAACTGTCATGCAAGAAGGTTTACAAACACATTAAGTGAAATAAAACAGGCGATAAAATTGTAGATTTTTCAGACAAGGCATGGAACAGTCAAGGGAACCTTCTCCTAACACTGTAAACAAGTTCCAAGAACGCACCTGAGATATTTACTATCTTATCAACTAGGATCCATGCAAAGAACATGGACAAAGATACTTACCTATCAATGGTAAGTATGACAGATGAACTGCAGAGCTTGAACAAATGGATATAGGATTGCATATCTACAGACCAGCTGCAGTT